TTTGTACACTCTCAGGATCCCAATAGCTATACAAAAATGCCTTTCATTACAGGTAATAAATTCTATTTCAAAAACTTGAAGAATCATTAAAGAGACTAAATATAGCTTTGCATAGCAACAATCACTATATCTGGTATTCATAAATAAACAGCAGTTCATTCTCTTGGACATGATATGAAAGGGACTGGTGATCTAACAAGAAAGCCTGGCCATGTGAAGAAGAAAGTGTTGAACCAAATGACAGTCTACCTGCCTAATCTAAAAAGATCTCAGATCTTCAACAATTCTCCTTTTCTATATTGTGGAAGAACTGCTTTCCATCCTGCTTTTACCCACTGTGCTGACTTTTTAAAAGACAAAAACACACTAGCCAGTGAAAGAATTTTAAACCAAGTGTGAATTTTTGCTCTCAGCCTCTAGGCAAGAATAATGAAAACAAGCTAAACACAACATGCTTTTCTTTTAATCTATTTAAAGATGTTAGAAAGCTACCAAGAAACTAAAGGTTTTAGGAAGTCAAGATCCAGGAATGAAGAAATCCCAGCAAAGCAAACCTGCCATTAGATGCTCTGTTTCTCCTAGAACGACATTTACTGATTATGAAACAGCACCTGGGAAGTTGTGCATAGCTTCTCTCCATCTCACTAAGCTGAGCACCCAAGTAAGCAATCATGCATATGTCAGAAATGAGAAGCATTGCTGAACCCTAGGCTTAAAATCCTGACCTTTAAGGAACAAAACTCTGTTAGAAGAATCTGACACGAAATAAAGGAGCTCTCAGTAAGTGAAGCTTTGAACCAGCTCAATATGCCCTGATATTAGACTAATCATCTTCATACTTTAAACATGGTCAAAGCAAAAGTAAACATATTCATTTGGCAGGAAATGGCATTCAACACTTTAAGTTCTAAAATCTTTTATGTGTAGTGTTTGGTACTGGCTAGAAGAAACATTAGGAAAACAGGAAAGGTAAGCCAAAGAAACTTCCAAAGTGTCCAGTCATTAGGTAAAAACTGGGAAAATTTGATTTAATAGAAGACTAAATATACTGTGACATTCATTTCAATAAAATAAATTTTATTTTGAGGAAGAAAAACTTGATAATTTACTCTTCTTAAGCTGAGGGCCTGGATGTTTTTAAGTGTTCATGCTCAAGGTTACCAGCTGAGCCACAGCTCTACATTCAGCTTTTTGTGGTTCACTGGAGATGAGATTCTCATGGGCTTTCTTGCCTGGATGGGCTTTGAACCACATCAATCCAAAAATCTCAGCCTCCTGAGTAGCTAGGATTACAGGTATGATCCATCAGCACCCGAATGATTTATTCTCAAAGCAAACAACTTCAAACTTTATTCACTTAAAATATAATGAAAATTATATTGAGGTTTTAAAAGTCATGATAAGATTGAAAAAGACTGAATATAAAACTTTGGGAGCATTTTTTCCCATGATACTATGTACATGCAATGCACATATGTTCTTTTTCATAAGACACAGAAAAATACTGATTTTATTCTGAAATCGCTAATCATTTGTCCTAAGTAATATGCTATTGAGATTCTACTTGCAACGGCAGATTCCACTTGGACTTTAAATATGCTGATTTTTTATAAGCTTCATAAAATTGATGTTTTGCTAATAAAAGCCAGCCACTTTGACTAGAATGAAGTAACATGATTATCTCTCCATCAATCGCTCTCTAGCTCATTCATTAGGTAATAGAGAATCATCATTAGACCAGGAATGAATCCTGATCACAATTAAGTAAATTTGAGTTTGCCCTCATAAGAGAAAGTAAAAGGTCATGCTATAATATTTTAGCCCACAAGAGAAAAATAATAGATTGGATAATAATGTAGGATATATTTTCAGCTTAATAGAATTTACAGGTAACTGTGGAGTTAAGTAAGGTAATGGAGAAGCAAAGTTAATTTCAGTAAGTTATATGAGCAATATTCAGAGAAGAGCAGTCTGTCCTCTAAAAACACTAAGAATTCATACGGTAGCAGAGTGCTTTACTGGCTGTTTGCCATATTTTAATGTCTTCTGTTTAATCTTTGTGTTTGTTTGGTTTGATTTTGTCTTGCTGTTAGCTCAGGCTGTAACTCACCATGTACTGAGAGCTAGCCTCAAATTCATGATGATCCTCTTACCTCAGCTTTCTAAGTGCTTGGATGACAGGGATGCTTTTGGCTTCTGTTAAATTTGTATATTTCATTGATATATTTCTACTAGTGGAAATTTCCAATTGTCTTTAGATTTTCATTTTTTTTTCTAGAACTGAATTCCAGTTTTGTTTTTGTTTTTGTTTTTCATGGAAGAAAGGTTGGGAAGACACTCTTGATTCCAAAGCGATTCCAACAAATAGAGGCAACTGTGTAAGCGGAGGCTGTTATTGGCAGAAAACAGCTTCAGTATGGCAGTCCTGCCTCCAATTATTTATGATTAAACAACATCATGACACTTCTCTTTAGATCATAATTAGTAGAGAAATATGAAAGGTCTTCTAAGACCCAATAGGTAGTTCTAACAGCTCAGCAGGCAAACAAACTTTTAATTTTTCTAGATAAAGCATATATCATGATAAAGAGTCAGCTGAGAAGGAGCCATGAAAAACAAATATTGGCAATATCCAAATGGGATGATCCAGAAGAGTCTAAACTTGTGGAATATGATGGTGTTTAGAACAATATCATCTATCCTGACTGCAGATTTCAGTGATCTAAGCTTGTGTAACAGCACATATCAGCTATAAATTTGTTCCAAAGTTTAGAGAAGTTAAATACATTTGTCAAGGTATTCATCCTTGAGGGGTAGAATCAGGATTCAGAAATGCAAGTTTGAGTATTCAGCAAACAACTCCCACCAGCAGTATACCAGTACCCAGTTTTTTCAGTTGGTTCATTATCCTTAAAATAAGAAAATTATCATAGTCTTACAAGTTTTAGGGCCCGTCCATTCTAAGGAAGTCCTGTTTGTTACAGATACATACGTCATTCCAAATCAAGCTGGAATTTGATCCTTTAAGATTCAGATCTCCACTGAGTAATATTTAAAACAAACAGAAAAACAGTATGATCATTTTAGGAAGCTTTTGAGGAGGCAGAATATTCAGCTAGTGGAGTAAGAATGTGAAGGAAGGTACCTTCGTTTGGTCAGGCAGCTTTAACAAACTATTGTTTGACGAGTGGTTTATAAACAACAAGCAAGTTGTTCTAGAGGGTCCACAGTTAATGCACCAGCAGATCTGATGTCTACTAAGGGCTGGCTTTGTCATATACAGTGACTTCTTCACTATTTTCTTCATCTGGAGGAAATAACGAGAGGTCTCTTTTGGGCCTCTTAATATAAGATCATGTAATAATAATAATAATAATAATAATATAAGATCATGTTAAGGGCTCTGGCTCTATAACTGTCTCCCAAAGACTCCATTTTCAAATGCCATCATCTTGAGGGTTAGCACTTCAGTACTTTAATTTAGAGCCAAACAACATGCAGACCATTCAGGAAGGGGAAATGTTCCTTGCTCAAAACCAGCCCTTTTAGGTAGCTTTCTCTTTACAATACATTGTCTTGTAAAGCCTTTGGCCATTTATTCGCTCACTCAGCAAATACATATGTAGCATTTATTATGACCTAAACACTCAGCCCACTTCTCTCTCTCTACACCTCCTACCCCGTTTTAAATCAAAACCTTTACATGAAACAGTTTGTTACCTCAGCTTCAAATGTATACCTACTTGACTCCATTCTTGGTGGACTCCCCAGAGGAGCACAGAAAAATTTTCTCAAGAGCCCACTAGGAAACAAGTAATCATTCTGACTGAAAATGGTTGAAACTTAAAGCGTATCTGGCCTCATGACCTCCCTGACAGGCTTCAACACATCTTTCTCTCTCCCATTCTCAAATCTCTGCCTTTAGTGGATGAACCATGAACAGACAAGCAAAACTGGCAAGAACTGGCAAAAACAAAACAAGTGGGAGCATGGGTCTCTCTATACAGACTACTAAGAAAACAATCATTTGAAGAGTAGCAAGTTTGAGGATTTTTTGAGCCATATTGAGCCTTCAATTCAGGAACTCACATTTGCTTGACTGCTTGCTTAGCTGTTGCTCTACCAGTTGGGGTATACCTCCAATCCTGCTTTATTTTGCTGGCTCTTTTGGAGATACAATCTCACAAAAATTGGCAGCCCAGGTTATCTTTGAACTGAGATCTGGATCTCAGTTAGCTCCTTAGTAGTTTAGCCATCAGCACTGGTTTATGAAATTTTGTATCAAAATATGGGATTATAAGATTTTTGTATTATCATATACTATAATAGCATGTAGTAATTATTATATATGGAGTATATATGTATACATATACATATAACATAGCATAAATGTTACTATATGGTATATATAATGCCCACATTTATATGTTATATATACAGTATAAACTATATACTATATGCATCCTATTTATATAATATATGATAATTTACATAAAATTTTTATGGTATGTTTTTATGATATATCATAATATACCGTGATTGTACATGCTTAACTTTCTATGATTTTTCCTTTAGTATTTTCTGACAAAATATACTCATAATATTTTTAAATTTAATGTGTTGTGAACTTCTATTTTCTTAGGGCTAGGATGTTGCTCAGTGGCAAAGCACTTGCCTAGCGAGTGCAACATCCTGGGTTCAATCCCCAGCATTAAAAGAGAAAAGAATGATTAAAAAAACCAGTTAAGTTCTATTTTCTTATTGGCAAAATAAATATTCGGAAAGATAGCAGAGTGTTCCTTTTTTAATTTACTAAGCATCCCAACTTCTTGTTTACATACGTCTTTTTAAATACTGTTCATATTTCTTCAACAATCGTCCCAAGACTAATTGTAGAAAAATTTACCAAGTAATATGATCTTTTATTAGGGAAAATTTCCTTTTGTTATGTTGGGCCCCAAACAAGTATTTCTTTGCTTACATTTCTAGATCCAACTTACCTGTCAAACAGTTCTCCTCCTGTGACGAGTTCTAGGACCAAGCTGATTTCTGTAGGAGTTTCAAATATTTCTTTAAGTTTTATCTGGGGAAAGATACATATAAAAATGAGTATGAAGGAGTCCTTTCATCTTTCTTGAAAGCATCTAAAACAATGGTTAAAATGACACTGGAAGATCACTGTTAATAATGAAAGTTCCTTATCAAGTAGATACTACGCATCACCCTCTATCTTGGGTGTTGGTTTTGTCAGTGGCCTCATATTTTTCAAAGATCCTATTATATTTTGAAGTTTTCTTTTGCATAATGGAGTTGTGGAGGTGGGGCGGGAAGGGATGTTAGGGGAAAAACAAAGGAGTGGGTAACAATGCTCAATAGGAAATGTATTCATTACCTTACTCATGTAACTGTAGCCCCTCTGTACAGTATCTTTATAATAAAAAAATATATTTAATATAAAAAGAAAAATAACTACCTTGGAAATACATCCCACATTTTACCAAAATATCCCAATTTCTGCTTTTCTCTAAAATCAAAAATGAAACCATAAACTTCCGAAACTATGTAAAAGCATCACAATTACTAGAGATGGAAAAGGCATCTTTCTTGGAAACTAGGACTTGTAATGAGGGGTGTGAGGCAGGGCATGACCAGGTGAAAGTATGTATGTAAAGGATGCTCTTTGCAGCTAAAATGTTGCTGGTCCTTAGGCAAAGAGTGCTGTTAGAGATTTGATTGAGCACTAAGGTTTTCAACACATTCAGATAATATGACCAATTTTGGATATTCTTTTCTACATATATCTGAGAAGCTAATGGTCAGGAGTAATCTACTTTGAGGAAAATTTTGCATTGGCTTTTCTTTAGAAAAAGAAAAAGAGCTGGATAATATAGAAATACTGATCCAGTGTGGTAATTTTGTTAGTTACTTATCCAATGCTTTCCACTTTATTGCACACAGAATCTTGATTTTGTTCAGGAAAGCAAGCTACTCAGCTCCTTGTGGATCGTGACGGTCTAAGTTGTGTGGTAAGTCAGTTCCCCAATCTACCATCTCCCTATGCAATTAAGATTTCATGACCGACCAGATCTGGACAATAAAATTTCAATTCCATGGTAGCAGATTTTCTGAGAATTTTTTTCCCCCTCATCTTATTCTGCTGGTAAGGTACTTCAAACTTTTTTTTTTCTGAATATAGACCTGAGGATTTGTGCAAACCAAGAAGCTTGAGAATGACATCAGTGCATTAAGCATGGCAGTACTAAGGGTTGTGTGGGGGAGGGGGTCGGGGAGAAGGTCTTGGTCTTGTGTTGAGTCTCAGAGATGCTGAACTGAGGTAGATACTGCCTGCCTTGATGTCTTATTTGCTAGTTTATTGCTAGGTGCATCCTCGGCTCATCTATTGGAAACTCTTCCTCGAGCCAGGTTATCCCTTCAGAAACTGCTTTCCCAGAGAAATAAGTAAGGTGTTTTATTAAGTAGGCAGCTTAATTACTAAAACCAATTTATGGCTGGGGAAATGATTTCATACGGTTTCACTTCATTGGTTCAGAAAGGCTTTTCAGCAGACACGTCCTTCAGAGGTACTGCCTGGACACTGACTAAAAGCAGAACTTCTGAGGACATTTAATTTTGTTTTCTCCCTTTGAATTTATCACTGATTGGCATCTATCTCCCGATTGTTCTGAAGCAGAGACTCTTTCAAAGAAGACCAAAATGGCTCTGGAAAGCAAGCCAGAGGCTTTCTGGGCAATGGCATATTAATAAGATAGTCATACAAAAGGAGGAGAGAGGCAGTGTTGCAGTACAGTAAAACCAAACTATTCAATTCCATCCTTTTGTACATGCAAAGACATAGTATCTCCTGATAATCCATCCATTTTGAACCAACTGAATAAACATGTAAGATTTTTTTCATCCATCTTCTCATAATCATCATGAACAGATATGGACAGCAGTCCCTTGCGATAGCTTTGGAAAATAAAATAGGAGGTCAAAAACTACTTACAATGTTTGGATGCGAGAGGCGAAGAAGAACTCCTATCTCAGTTCTTACGATTTTTTTATCCACCTAAAAAGGAAAATAAGAATTCAAATGGAAATATAGTCCCATCCCAGGAACATTTTTAATGCAGTACAGACCAGAAATAGCATTTAGCTACCTACTAAAATCAGACAGCTGGACTTCCTTCCCTCCCTCCCTTCCTCCTTCCTTCCTTCCTTCCCTTCCTCTCTCCTTCCTTTCCTCTTCTTTCCTTCCTTCTTCTCTTCCCTTTTCTCTTTTTCTTTCCTTCCCCACTTCTTTCTTTTCTTTTCTTTGGTGCTAGTCCTAGGGCTTGAAACTTACTGTCTCTCAGCTGTCTTGCTCAAGGCTAGTACCCTACAGCCTAGGCCACAGCTCTACTTCCAGCTTTTTGGGGGTTAATTGGAGATAAGAGTCTCATGAACTTTCCTGCCTGGGATGGCTTCAAACTGTGATATTCAGATCTCAGCCTCTTGAGTAGCTAGGATTACAAGCATGAGCCACTGGCACCTAGCTCTGCTCTCCTTCCTTTTTTTGACAGGGCCTCTCTGTGTAGCCCAGGCTCTGCCTCTTGAGCGCAGGGGTTACAGGTAGGCACCATTATGCCTACTAAGCTTTTCTCTTGTGTTTTCTTCTCCTTTTTCTTTTCCCCTCCTTGTCCTGCCTCTCTGCTTCAGAGATAAAGTAGAGCTTGTAACAACTGGCATTGATTTTTAGAGTTATAGACATATTCTAGATATAAAATGATGCTTTGAAATAAACTGTAAGAAATGAAAACAAGAGGTTATTTTAATGCACTGTTTTCGGTTATTTCTTTTTTCTTTCTTTCTTTTCCTTTGGTTTATTCCCTGTTGTCAGTGTTTTTGATTTCTGTACCTTTGTCTTGTATATACATTTCTATGATTTGGGAAGGAGAAGGAGAGTCACAGAAATGGTGGTACAAAGGGTTGAACCAATTCAGCAGTGATATTCACTAGACACTATGTTAGAAATGAACTTTGCAACCTGGTTGGGGGGAGGAGGGAGGGTGTGGGTGGGAAAAAGTGGAAGAAAATGAGGGAGAGGGTAACACTGTACAAAAAGAAAAATACTCATTACCTGACTTACGTAACCCCTCTGTATATCACCTTTACATCACCTTTACAATAAACTTTAAATAAAAAAATGGTATCACAACTTATAAGATCTCTTTCCCTTGCATATGAAAAGTCACTATATTCACTATTACTGCTATGGCATAAATTCATCTCAAACTATCCCTCTTTCTTCTATTCCTTCATTTATGAAAGTACCTGTCTCAAACCCAAATGGAGCTATCCCTTTACCTACTTTCTGCATATAGAGATACCAAACAACTCAACCTAACCAACCAGGGTATCCCATTCTTAGCCATAATGACATCATTAAGCATCCAGTAGACCTACATCATTCGAGAGGCTCTGCTCCAAAAATTGTGCTCAAATAATCAAAAAGGTTTTTTTTTCTCTCTGAAATTATGAGAGCAAAAGAGGATAGACTTTTCTGCTCTTAATGATCCTATTTTATAACTATGAGGACCATTCTCACTGGAAACGAAGCCAACACAGGAAAAAATACAATATAAAGAAAGAATATTGCTGATATCATTTACTTTCCTGAACTCAGTTATGCATAAAATAGTTTGTCCTTTGAACTTCCTAATGACAAGAACCAGTAAATTTCCATTATCTTCTTATTATCCAGAATTAAGTTCTATTTGTGGCCTTTATGGAACACTGGGGACTCACCACTTGGTCTATGTGCGGGGGCAATTCTCAATTTAATTTACCATGATTAAAATTAAAGATGTTCCTTCCCTTTCTGGGTCAGCAATGAACTCTTTTAATCACAGTGAACTGGTGCTTCAGATCTCTAAAAGTCATTTGCAGACACAGAAGTGTGCATTTAGTCTTGTTCCAACAAAATCCATTGTTGTAACATATAGTCGACATCTTTTGTGATTGTGTTTCTGCCATATTAGCTGTTCTGAATCTCTGGACTGGGAAAGTTCCCATGGTTCTAGGGGTCAGTAGGAAGAGTTTTATGTTTTCTTTCTTTCTTTCTTTCTTTCTTTCTTTCTTTCTTTCTTTCTTTCTTTCTTTCTTTCTTTCTTTCTTTCTTTCTTTCTTTCTTTCTTTCTTTCTCTTTCTCCCTCCTTCCCTCCCTCTCTCACTCCCTCCCTTCCTTCTTTCCTTCCTTCCTTCCCTTCTTTCTTTCTTCACACCACATCCAAAAGACTGCCTTAAACTAACAATGGTTCTACCTTCTAAGTTACTTCTCAGTAAAGGGGGGGGGGGGGGTAGCTTGAGGAAAAGTCCAATTCCATTTCAGTGGTGATAGCAAACTATTGCTTTCAAGATGATAAATAACATTTATTCATTTAATTTTTATTCTCTAATGAGTACGAACAAGAATATATTCTTTGAAAATAAAGGAAGAATACTCATGAAAATTTTACAAATGTGTACTTTTTTCCTTTGGTTACAAATGCAAATATGTCATTCAGATATTTCCTTCAGCAAACATAATTTTGTCAGAACCTAGGGTATCTTGTTTAAAAGAGAAGAGCCACCATTAATAAACAACTGCAGTTTTTATAAGAAGGAAATGGGTTGACAGAGAAATATCAAAGAAGTCCCACCTCAGTCAGAGTTTTCAAGCCTATATCACCATTGTATATGATAAACAGTCATGGTAAAGCCATTTTAACTATTAAAATTTTCAGTCATTCATTCAATCATTTAGAAGGTTTAGGGCGTTTTCATGTAGTTATTTATTTTAATTTTATTGTCAGAGTGATGTACAGAGGGGTTACAGTTACATAAGTAAGGTAGTGAGTACATTTCTTGTCAAACTTGTTACCCACCTCCTTCATTTTTCTCCCTTTTTCCCTACTTCCATCCCCCACACCAGTTGTACAGATCATTGCCAACATATTGTCTTGTGAGTATCACTTCTGCATTGGTCCCCCTTTGTCCTTTGTTTCTCACCATTTTGTTGTTCCCCTTTCCTTTCCTAATTTAGAATAAATGTATAACAATACCAGGGTACCAAAATCAAATATAGTGACAACAGGAGATATACCATAGGGGGAGAAAAACATAAAAGAAAAAAGAAATCATGTAGCCCTGACACACACATTTAATCTGTCTCTCTTCTTTCCAAATGCAGGAAACAGGGCCACAGAAGTCCCACATAGATATTGTTCAACATCACATTTCAAAGGGAGAAAAGGCCCTCTTTCTGATCTATATGCTAACCTTCAGTATTCTTCTCCGTAGCCTTGCTTGTTCCTTATACACATTGCTAGAGGAAGAGACAGGTTTCTATGACAAGACCACACATGGGTCCGGGGCTCTTTCCTTCGACCAGGGTTGAGATTGGGGTATTTGGTTCTGCTGAAATATAATTGTTGGCCTGACTATACATTTAGGATTTATGTAATTTATGGTCCTTCTTCCTGTACTTATGTATTTCTGATTGGTGTAAAATATTCACAGACAGTGGGGTCCTTTAATTTCTTTCACATGATATTTTTACAGTGAATACAATTTTTAGTGCAAATATGCATTTTGATAAAATTTATTCTTTACTATATCCCATGGTATAAAGTCCATGTTAGGAATACTCCTTTAGTTCTTTCAAACTCCAGAAATATTCATAACAGGTCAGATTGTACTTAACTCTGGGACAGCAAACTTCATGTATGATCGTTCAGTTTTGAAGTAAGAACTGAATATCTCTTTATGAACATTTTTGAAAGAAATACCTACTTTTCCATTCCATGTTATATCATTGTCTTTTAGGTAATTAAGAGATTTTCCCTTCCCCAACTTCATATCTAAATACATTCAGATATTTTTCTTATGCTACAAACAAACAAACAAAAAAGCATAACAACAATTAGATGCAGAAGCCAGTGAAGACCAAACTGTCTTTTATTAAAACAGATGGTAGAGAGATTAGCCAAAAAATGCCATCCTTTTTATTTTCAGTAAAATAAAATACTATTTGTTTTATATGTAATGGGCTTATTATTGTCATTTAAAACATAGTAATTAATCTGTTTTAATATCTTGTATAGTAAATATATATAGCTATTTAAGATTTTCAATGTTTTAATGAGTACAAAGGGCTCTTAAAGACACTCCCAAATTTGAGGATCATTAGGTTAGAAAAAGTAACATATTTTTGCAAATGAAAGAAAAGAAAAAAAACATGCTAGTGACAGCAATTAATAGGAAACACTTGATTTCTGCTTCATGAGTGCTGGTCCCAGGCTGAATAATACTCAGACTGTGAGTAAGTGAAGGCTGCACAGGCTGAAACACGTAGGAATTTAAGAAGGAGCTTACAGCCAAGTCTGAGCAAGCACCATTGATCCAAATACAGCACCTTGCCTCTAAGTGGAAGCGGTCATTGATAGCCAAGGAAACCAGCTGAAGGGAAATTCAAAGGGGAGAAGGACAAAGGAGAAACAGACATATTTGTCTGAGGGCTATGAAGCCCCTAAACAGGACCGGATGGGGGTAACAGCATTCCTCTCACAGGGGTAAGTGAGGGCCATATGATGTCTTTTTGAAAGGATATCTGCATTAGCATAGCCCTACTTTAGGATCTGCTGTCTCCAAATGAGGCATGCCTGGGGAGGTCTCACAGCTATGGGCCTTCACAGCCACTTATCTCAAGTTGCCTGCTGTTCCTCTTGGTGTTTCCCTCCCACTTCTCAACCCCCCACCAAACTCCTGGGGAATCCAGAAGACAGCCTGAGCTCTCACAGTGAGTGATGCTTTCCTAGGAAATAACCATCAAGAATCTTGAACAGTCATTACAGCCACTTGAAGTTAAGCTTCCCATGGCCTCCATACTTAGCACTGAGAAGCCTCAATAGGGTAGCTTTAATGAGCTCACATGACAAAACATTGAAACTGAGAAAGCCGACCTTCAATATCTACACAGCACCTCGAAGAATGGTACTTCTTTACCAGTAACAATATTCAATGATAAAGATATGTGTCACTAAACTCCTA